TGAAACACATCTGTCATTTAAATAGTAATTCATTCATTTAAACTCATTTATTATTTAAAAACGTATATTTAAGACCAGAAGTAATTTAAATAACTGGACAGTTAATGTCAGAATAGTTAAATAAATACATTTAACGTTAACTCACAATAATCACTGTGAGTCATTTAAAGAGTCCGACCGTTAAACGGCAGTTAGTCTACCGACGGCGCATGCGCAGTTCTCTGCTCAACGTTCGCGTGCAGAAATGAGAACTATCGATATTTTCGTTAAAAACACGCCAATAGTCGATATTATTGTATTACAGATAGTTTTTGGAAACACTGATAATTATAATTTATTTTACATTGGCCGAATATTTGTTCACATAATAACTGTAATAAAGTTTAAAAATCTAGCGGCGTCCGAACTTGCAATGCATTATGGGAAGAAGAAACAAACTGCCGTTATAATGTCATTTAAAGCGAATTCACATCAAATATTTCAAACTGATTATTATTTTAAATCTTTCTAAAAGATAATTCTGTCCAAAGTGCTTCCTGCTTCGTCAGTTGAGATAGTGTAACGTTAGTTGTCAACAGCACCGTCAGTCAGTGTGGTGTGTCTGTGAGAGAGCTCCCTGTCTCTGAGCTGGACAACTCATACTTACCTGGCAGGGGAGATACCATGATCAAGAAGGTGGTTCACCTTGGGCGAGGCCTGACCATTGCACTCCGGTTGGGTTGACCTCAACGAATGGGGATGGGGCGTAGGGGAGTGCAAGCGACGAGGGACCCGATTGGACGCCGTTCTACGGTCGCGCCCCCGACCCGGCAGCGACATCTCCCGGCAGCCTAACGACGCCGCACGTCCGGGAGTGTGAGGGGTACAGCGCCATCTACCGGGCAAGGGTCGATACCGCAGGCCGTTGTTGGTTTGGATGGATTGAGGGATGAAATCTGACAACTCTGATATCTAAAATTTGAATCTAATGAAACATAACTCACGTGGCTTTACAGCTTTCATTGTTAGATTTATGTTCAATAAATGTTACAGTGTTAAAGCTGATTACATCCCTACTTAAGTGTGTGTGTGTGTGTGTTATATACGTGAAAGCTTTGTTTAATTCTCTCTTGTTCTTCTGTCCTTTTTGTAGCTCTGGCTGGCACACCACTGGAGAGTTTGAAGGAGTAATACAGGACACCGCAGGAGGAGTCTACAAAACAGCTCACCCCCGTTCAAAGCAAATGTTGCAGAGACTATTGTCGTGTATTCCACATGTGTGATATTGGCCTTATCAGATTTATATGAGCTATTTATTGTGACGCTGCCATTGAATGATGCTCCAAGCACCGTATTAGGTATATCTGTGTAAGCAAATGCTACATAATTCATGTACGTTATCCTTGTCACTGAATTCATACTTTATCTCCTTTCCTAAGTGCTGTTTATTTACATTTACTTCTATCTTAATTCATTATGTTATGACAGGCTGATGAAAAGTAGTTAAATATTTCTGAGGCAGAGAATAAAGCTAATTTAATGTTGCTGTTGTTAAACGTGCAAAAGTATCTATCATGGTGCTGTAGGCACGTGTCCTTATATGTAAGTAATCTGGCACTCTGTGTATGTGTCCCTATTTGTTTATAAACAAATAAACCCCCAATTTTGCATTCAATAATTGATATTCCACAGCTCATTGTTACTGAACACTTTACTGAACAAACTGCATGAAATGAGGGACACACACTTGGAGGGGAAAAAAACAGCGCGTAAACAAAGTATCACTGAACACGATAATGAATACAATGTCATAAAAAGAACATGTACATGAAAATTGAAATGATTTACAATTTGTCCAATGACATGCAAGTAGAATTTCTACCTACACCAAAACACTACAGTTTAGATAACTTAAAAGATGGGGGATGGGGCGTAGGGGAGTGCAAGCGACGAGGGACCCGATTGGACGCCGTTCTACGGTCGCGGCCCCCGACCCGGCAGCGACATCTCCCGGCAGCCTAACGACGCCGCACGTCCGGAGTGTGAGGGGTACAGCGCCATCTACCGGGCAAGGGTCGATACCGCAGGCGATTGTTGGTTTGGATGGATTGAGGGATGAAATCTGACAACTCTGATATCTAAAATTTGAATCTAATGAAACATAACTCACGTGGCTTTACAGCTTTCATTGTTAGATTTATGTTCAATAAATGTTACAGTGTTAAAGCTGATTACATCCCTACTTAAGTGTGTGTGTGTGTGTGTTATATACGTGAAAGCTTTGTTTAATTCTCTCTTGTTCTTCTGTCCTTTTTGTAGCTCTGGCTGGCACACCACTCGGAGAGTTTGAAGGAGTAATACAGGACACCGCAGGAGGAGTCTACAAAACAGCTCACCCCCGTTCAAAGCAAATGTTGCAGAGACTATTGTCGTGTATTCCACATGTGTGATATTGGCCTTATCAGATTTATATGAGCTATTTATTGTGACGCTGCCATTGAATGATGCTCCAAGCACCGTATTAGGTATATCTGTGTAAGCAAATGCTACATAATTCATGTACGTTATCCTTGTCACTGAATTCATACTTTATCTCCTTTCCTAAGTGCTGTTTATTTACATTTACTTCTATCTTAATTCATTATGTTATGACAGGCTGATGAAAAGTAGTTCAATATTTCTGAGGCAGAGAATAAAGCTAATTTAATGTTGCTGTTGTTAAACGTGCAAAAGTATCTATCATGGTGCTGTAGGCACGTGTCCTTATATGTAAGTAATCTGGCACTCTGTGTATGTGTCCCTATTTGTTTATAAACAAATAAACCCCCAATTTTGCATTCAATAATTGATATTCCACAGCTCATTGTTACTGAACACTTTACTGAACAAACTGCATGAAATGAGGGACACACACTTGGAGGGGAAAAAAACAGCGCGTAAACAAAGTATCACTGAACACGATAATGAATACAATGTCATAAAAAGAACATGTACATGAAAATTGAAATGATTTACAATTTGTCCAATGACATGCAAGTAGAATTTCTACCTACACCAAAACACTACAGTTTAGATAACTTAAAAGATGTAATTGAATAGGATAGAGAATTAAATGAGTAAAAATGAAGGCTATTTACAATTTATAAAAGCACATGTACATGAAAATGGCAACTATTAACAATATATAAAGAGTATGGCAACTATTTACAATATGTACATGAAAATGGCAACTATCAACAATATATAAAGAGTATGGCAACTATTTACAACATGTACAATGCAGCATATTCACAGTTCATTTGTCCAAACTGTCAACAACAGACATGAAATGTTCGTAGCTGCTGTACACTCTGCTGTGTAGTTGTTTAGATGTTGACATCATTTTGACAGGGCAGAAAGTCTTTTTTTATTTTTTTATGTCCCTGTGTTGTGCTGTTGCAGAGCGTACAGATTGGAAGTTTTCTGCACCCTGACACTTCCCTCTTTCTTTCTTTACGTTTGCTTCTTGTACTGTGTGGCTGCGTCGCCCAGAATGGAGGACTGGGCGGAGTCGGAGGAACAACCCAAGAGGAAGGAGAAAAAACCCCGGGGGGGGGGGGGGGGGGGGGAAGACGGGCGGGGGGGGGGGGGGGGGGCTGGGGGGGCTGCTGCAGGTGCAGAGAGGGAGGGCACAGGTCTGCTGATGGTAGAGGTGGCAGGGTTTTTTCACCTGTGGTGGCAGTAGCACAGGTAGGTGGTTGAGGTTGGGCCCAGGACACAGTTATATCGGTCTTTCCTTTTTGGACTTTTGTCCCTGCTGTGCTGGGTGTTGGCACATATTCCATCAGGGGGTAGTCTGGTGGAGGGAGGACCGCTGGCTGGTGCGGTGCTGGAGGTAGGGCTACGGATGAGATGGAGGTGGATTTGCGGATGGTGGACGGTTGTTTGGTGGCATGTAGGTTGAGGAGCCTCTCTTGGCGCTGGATGAAGTCCCGCACAGTCTTAGCGTTTTTTTTGGGCAGAGGAATGCCAGCTTTGCACAAGACCGGATCCTCCAACAAAATCCGGTGCTGGATCCTCTCATACGCCTTCAAGATGGAGGGCTTTTCTGGACTGCTGCGAGGTCCATGACTTACGCGCAGCCAAAAAAATTAAAAAAGCGTGTATAAAACCCTTTTTTTTGGTGTACGCTGATGTTTTGCTGAGCTGGTGCGTAGCGCTTGGCCATCTTGACCTTCTGTACAACAGCAGCATCAACCAGATGGTCCCTCTTGGTACGGGAGTAAAGGGGGGCCCCCCCAGTGCGTCTTGTACAGCTGATTAAACTTCTGTGGCTGCTTGTCATGCTCCTCCACTTTGGTTCCAGGCAACGAGAACCTTGTTCCTCTGCGCGGTGGTGAGGGACAGCTTGTCCTCTGTCAGCCCGATCTCCACCAGCACAGAGCAGAACACCTCCAACTTCCCAAAGCCAGGAAGAGGGTTTGGACTGCAGGCATCCTCCTGTTAAAAAAAATGCCATATGAATGTGTTACGTTCAAATGTGTACATTGTCAAGCAACCTGTGCATTGTATTTCATTCTAGCAGACACACAGTTACTCACAAAGGCCGGAGGGTGAGCAGTGGAAGTTTCCTCACTGGTGACAGTGATGTGCGTCAGGGCGGCATCCAAGACATCAGCTTGTGCCTCCACGTCGCTCTGGTACGCCTCGTCTTCCACCTCTGGATCCATCTGCCCAGGCTGAAGCACCTCGTCCTCTGGATCAGGCCCATCGTTAATGATGCCCTGAAGAGAGAAGGGTCCTGATTCCCCCGTGCTTTGGCTGAACAGGTACTCCAACCCGAGCAGCCCGTCGGGAGGGAACATCAGCAGGGGCCCAGAAATTCTCCTCCACAACCTCTCCAAAGAGCTGCTGACAGCGGGCATTGAGGCGGGCAATCAGCGGCGCCGAGTATGTCCTGTGGTGCCGTCCTCTGCCACCAAACACGGCATCTGAGCTCCTGTCTGAGTTCCACCTTGCAATGCCACTTATCAAGTAAACCTGATAAGGCCGTGCAGCACAGTGGGGACCTGAGTAAAGATTTCATGTCCCAGAAGTGAAATTAGGCTTGCAAACAGTAGTCAAAATGGTATCCGTATTATACATACATACATACATACACACACACACACAAACAAACAAACACAAAAATAAGTATTTGAATAATGACAGGGTCACATGTTTAATTTGTTTCAAGTACTATGCAAACTACACCTGTGTACCTGGAATCATGTGCGGCAGCACTTTGTGGAATCCTTCCAGGCTATTGCTTCCACGCAAACATTTGTAGTAGGCCACATCCACGTTGTTGATTGTTGTGCTGCGTGCCACCCTGTACATACTCATGTCTGGCGGATCCTAAAAACACCCCAGGGTTGGTGCCGCCCCCCCCCCCCCCCCAAAACAACGCTTCATAAAAAACAACAAAAAAAAAAAAAAAAAAAAAAAAAAAAAAATTATTTTTTTTTTTTTTTTTTTTTTATTTTTTTTTAAAATTTTTTTTTTTTTTTTTTTAAATAATATTTTAATAAAAAACACCCCTCCCCCCACCCCCCCCCCCCCCCCCCCCCCCCCCAATAACAAAAAAAATAAATTATAATTTTTTTTGAGCCCTGATGTGCTCCTCGCGTCTTTGGTTTTGGTGTTGTTATAATAAAAAAAAAAAAAGAACACGACCTTTTAAAAAGAGGAAACCCAGGGCGGGGGGGTCCGTTGCCCTGCCCCCATTAAGGAGGGGGTAAAAAGTTTGGTGTTTTTGAGGAATTTTTTGCCCCAGCTAGAGCAGACTTGAACGCAGCATATTTGGAGTGTGACTCTGTTCGTATGGCTGCGTCAAAGCGGTGGATCCAGTGGAATATGTCCAGACGCACAACCATCCCACTGTCCACCCACGGCTGGAACAAAGACTCCACCGCTGTCGGGACGCGCGAAGAGCAACACCCACGGTCGACGTACAATATTTTCGGGACTGGCTGATTTGCCAGCCGGAACCTCTCCACGACCGCGTGGCACATGGGTTGCAGCTTCTCTGTTGACTCCTCACAGGTCAGCACGAATGAAACTATTTGGGAGTGCTCGTTTCCAATACTGGTGAACCACTCAGCAGAGCCTTTAGCCTCCCCAGACAGCTTCTTCACCACCTTTTTAAAAAGTCAAGTTTGCATTATTTGATCTGTTAGATTATATGGAAAGGGGATTTTTTTTCCCTTAAACATTTTGTGTGAACATTTGCTTCATTGAAAACCAAACAGAAACTTAACAACACATCAGTACATCAGAGGGTATAGCATTACGTTTTGATTTACATACTTTCTTGGTGGAATCCATTTTCAGCACAGTGCCAAAGGTGGAGAGGATCTGGCTCCGATAATCCTGCACGTTGTCAGCCTCTGACAGCAGGAAGGCGTGGCGCAAGAGCCGCGCGGACGGAAGCTCTCTCGGAGGAGGCGGTGGCTGAAACGTGTGTCCGAGCGCAGACACAATACCTCCGGGTTCAGCCACAGTCATGAGGAGTGTGGTGTACAGGTCCTTGCGCTGAAAGTACAACTCGGTGTGATTCTCCTGTATCTGCCGCCACACCTTGACCATGGTGTTCCCTTCGGTCCGGTCCCTCAGAAGGCGCACAACATTCCTATCCACGCCACGCCTGTAAGTAGAGTCACAATCATTGTGTTGATGTTTATTAGAGTGACGACTTTAAAGTTTGTTAAATGCACATATGTTGACTATACTCACTTGGAGGTGAGAATGGCAGGGAACATAGCTTGATGAGCCTCGCTAAGTTGGGATAAAATGGATTGATCCCACGCCATGCACCGACCCATTTTGCCACCTTTGCCGCCCCTGGCTGCTTTGAGGCATGGTCCACAGCACAGGACCTCCGTCAGCATGCTGTACCAACTGGATACGTCGCAGATGTGACGTACCTGCAATGTAACATAATGTTGAATAGCAGGATATTATTTTCTACTGTGTTCCTTCTGTGACAGTTCATCTACATAATAATAAATAACAATAACCAATCTAACTGGAAATAAGTATTACCCTGGTGTGGTAGCCAGACTTGTAGAGGTACACCTTCTTTCCTCTGCCCTCACACTCATCCCCTCGGGGACACTTCAGGGAGCACTTCCACACTCCAACAGGGCGCCACACAAAGACGCGGCTCCGAAAAAGAGCTGTGGCAGGGGTATAGCCCCCTTTACATAGCCGGGAGGTTCTGGCGGATAAAACCACATACGGTCTGACTTCATCACCCGTCGCCTCTTCACCAGACCATTGACATCCTTATACATCTGAATGGGGGTGAAAAGCCCTCTTTCAGTGTCCTCTTTAAGCCATGAAATGTCGGCAGATGGGATGCCATTGGGGTTTTCCCACAGACGCACCCAACCCTCCAGCTCCACCTGCAACACAGATAATACATACAAAGCATTTGGTTATTGCTGTGTACAAAGTAATGTTAGAATATACAAGCAGTTACAAAACATGTTAAACCAATTAACATTCTTTGCATATAATGTGAATATCACTTACAGGGGAGTCAGTGAGAGGGGATTCCAAGAGGAGATCATGACTGGCTGGCTGGCTAGTGGACTGTGCAGTACGGACAGCAGCAGCAGCAGGCAGAGAAGAGTGGACAGCAGCAGCAGGCTGTTTAGAGCGGACAGCGGGTGCAGGCAGTGTTGGCTGGACAGCAGCAGCAGGCTGTTTAGAGCGGACAGCATGTGCAGGCAGTGTTGGCTGGACGACAGCAGCAGCAGCAGCAGCAGCAGCAGCAGCAGCAGCAGCAGGCTGTTTAGAGTGGACAGCATGTGCAGGCAGTGTTGGCTGGACAGCAGCAGCAGCAGCAGCAGCAGCAGCAGGCAGAGTAGAGCGGACAGCTTGTGCAGGCAGTGTTGGCTGGACGACAGCAGCAGCAGCAGCAGCAGCAGCAGCAGGCTGTTTAGAGTGGACAGCATGTGCAGGCAGTGTTGGCTGGACAGCAGCAGCAGCAGCAGCAGCAGCAGCAGCAGCAGGCAGAGTAGAGCGGACAGCGGATGCAGGCAGTTTAGTCTGAACAGGGGTCTTGAGCAAGTCTAAAAAAATAAGACCAAACAAAGTAGTATTATTTATATTGTGATTTTTTTCCCCCCAAACCATTTGATGTGTATTAACTCTGTATCTCACCTTCCACAGCCTGACTTGCAGCCACCAGTTCAGCTTCATCACCTGGCCATGATGAAGGATCACACTTGGAGGTGCTGGCATGCAGTTGCTGGAATAAAAGAGGTAAATGAATTATCTAGATGTTATGATGTACCAGTTTTTAATTATCAAACGTAAACAAGCACATTTAGGTCAAGTGCTTAAAATGTCACTAATCCGAACAATTTCAATCCTGTTTCTAACAAATAATCAAGCCAGTACTCACTTGATCTTTCTCGTTGACATATTTTCGGAATCTTTTCATCTGCGCGCTGGTGATGTGTGTCACTGGTGTGTTAAGCCATCTCCTTACAGAACTGTTTGCCTTCTTTATAAGCTCCCGCTGCTCATCTCTAAACTCCTCTGGCCTGTTCTTTATGGCTTGGTGCTGCCGGTAGAGTTCCCACATCTCCTGAAAGGTGTGATCCTCGAACCCTTTCTGGCCGTAGATACACCTGTCGACGTTGGCCTCGAGGAGATTGGAGACTTGTGGGAAGCTCTCCGCATATTCTGTGAGGTAATCTTTCACCCACTGGTTCCCAATCTCTCCCTTTCTCTGGGGTTTGTTACCTCTAACCTGTGCTTGTCAATCACACTGTAAGGATAAACACCAACTCAGTACTGACATCAATATCATTGCAGTTGTGATAATGAGCAACTAAACTTTGAAAAGATGAATAATAAACACCAATAATAGCCACAGTTTGTGCAATTGTCTACAATGGTATTAAATATAACATGCTTACTACTTCATGTAGCCCACATCATTTGCCACAAGCCAGTGGAATGGTGCATTTTGGTATTGGCCAAATGGCACCACCAGCTTTCCCAGGCACAGCTGACGGGATGGCACAGGGATACCCTCGGCCTGAAGGAGCTTCTCTGTGTGGGCCAGGGCTGTTGCCTGGAAGAGCAGCTCCTGTGGAGGTTTGGGGAAGACCACCTTCTTATCCCGATAACTACGGGCCTCTCTGGTCGCCGTCAGTGCAGCCTGTTGGCGATGTGCAGGGGTGCTGCTGACCTTGATCTGTGGTGGGGTCGCCATCTCTCTTCTGGAGATACTGAAATACACTTATAGATACAGCAAAGCAACAAAAAACAACAACAAAGACAGACGTGTTATTATTGTTGTTGTTGTTGTTATATTATTTAAACCTGAAGAGTATGGTCTAGATCTGCTCAATGTGCCTTGAGATGACTTTGTTGTGATTTGGTGCTATACAAAGATTGATTGATTGATTGATTGAGATTGATTATTATTATAATATTATTATTGTTATTATCAATTACTAATATAACAATGAACATTGGTTACAACAGGTCATTGATACATACATACATACATACATACATACATACATACATTCATACATACATACACATAATAAATATTTATTTACACTAGGCGCTAATGCTAACATTAACGCTACGTCCCGTCTACCGATAAAGACAATGCTCAATCTAAATAGTGTTACAATAAATTAATTTATGTACGTATGAGGCGCAGTGAGTAGTGAGCGAGTGTAATAACACATTAGTTTATTAATTCAGTCTTACCAATACTGTATGCTCGCCGGAGGAAAATACTAATCTGCATAGAGTAACCGAGCTCTAGACTCTGGAATAAAAACACTTCTCCGGTGTCCATGACCCCGGGGAAGAAATGATTGGGGGTTTCGAATTTTGGAAAAAATTTTGGGATTTAGGGGAAAATAAAAAAAAAAAAAAGGGGAAAATTTTTTTGAGAGAAAAAATTTTTACCACCCTTTGGTTTTTGCGAACTCCCCCAAATGTGGGAATCTCGACTGCATAATTTGTGGTAGTGGGGGACTGCGTTCGCGCTGACCCCTGATATACATGTTCAATAATAAACTGTAGTTTGTAACTGTTGGTGTAATGGCGGTTTTCCCGTGCTGCCTTCACGGACCGCTGCTGTGTGACCCAATATGTTAATTACATTATTTCCAACATTATAGTAAAAGTGATGCCTTTGAGGTTAATCGGTGCCACACTGCCCTTTAGTGATGAACTCCGGTACTGCACCGTCCCATCAGCGGCTCCCTGTGTCAGTTTAATCTGCTCTAATGAGTGAATGTTTATTTTTACTTTATTTGGGGGGATTTTTTATTATTTTATTATTTATTTTATTAGATAGGAACAGCTGGAGGGAGAGAGAGGATGTCATGAAGCAGGTTGTAACCTTGACCAGCTACTAAATTATATTGTGTCTTGTTATTTAAATAATTTGTGGAATTATTGACACATAATCAATAACATTATGATATTTTTACCCGCCAGCACAATATACTGACCTCATCTAAACATCATAATCTATCATATAATGTCTTAAATAATATAAAAATATAAACAAACATAACATTTATCCCCCAGTTAATGTTACTCACACGTCTGATTCTGTATATATAAATATAAAGTTTACTTTGAGACGAATTAAACTTCACATATTTATATCTTAAACCAAAAAAATAACTCCTTAATTTCAATAATATAATATTAATATTCAAACTTCAGACTCTAAAACCTTTTCCACATATGGTCGGTAATATTTAGTTTATTTATTATTATGAAAATATAAAGAAAAATACTGATACAGAGTTTAAAATTGTCTTTTTATAATTTTATTTAGTTTATTTATTCATTTATTGTTTATTGTACACACTTCCTGCTTTTCTAAGGGCCCTTTAATGATTAAACAACTTAATTTAATATATATGTGTGTGTGTGTGTGTGTGTGTGTGTGTGTGTGTGTGTGTGTGTGTGTAGTTTGGCCTCGTTTCAATCAGTCCTGCAGTGGAAGCGATGTTTGTTAATTCTCAAGTATCAGCGACTTTTTTTTCCTGTCACCCTGCGAACTGAGATCAATAAAGCGAATGTGCTGAAGCTGCTGATTCCTCGTGTTCATTCTCCACGTTTACTTCCCGTCTTTATTTATCCCGGGAGGAGTTTTCTGCTGAGCTCGCTCGCTCTTTCCCAGCTTCCCCTTTCCCCCTGTCGTGTTTCTGTATATATTTATATTCACTCTTTGATGTCCTGTAACATTTCTGCTCATTTTCTTGCTGTTTTTCTGCCTGTTTATGTTCAGTTTCTTGTCTTTTTTCCCCTCAGTGTAAAAAAGTTCTGAACAGTATTTCTTTAATCCCATTCTCTGATTGTAAATGTGAATTTATTTAAAGAATAAAGCTTGAATAAAGCTCCTGTAAGCAGTCAAAAGTCCCCTTAAAAGCTCCAGTGTGTAACATTTAGGAGGATCTATTGACAGATATTTAATATAATATTCAAAAGCATGTTTTCTTTAGTGGATAATCACCTGAAAATACTAAATGTTGTGTTTTTGTTACCTTAAATTGAGCTGGTTTATTTACAGAGGGAGCGAGTCCACAATGTTTTTTTTGTTTTGCAGCTTTTTAGTTGCTGCAATCTGCAACGTCACCACTAGATGTCCCTAATTCTTACACATAAATACGTCTATTTGTTTTATAGAAACTTTATTTCTTCTGTTGCTTTACACAGAAGTGCATTAAAGACAAAGTTAAGGCACTAACATTGCAGAGGTCACATGCAGGTTTGAAGCCACTTGAGCTTAAAAAAGTTAAATACTTTGGATAAAACTGCTCAAAACCCAGAAACTCTCTCCTTAAACGATTCTGCTCCACGGCTCAGCAGATTTTGGCGAGCAGCCTCACCGGTTTCCATCCTCCTCTGAAGTAATAAAAGTCCTGATTGGATCGTATATACAGAGCGAGGGAGCTTCATCATCAACCCTGCCAGTGATCACCAGCCGGCTAATTACTTTAGCAGAGGGGGTCAAGTGTATCGGACAAAGGTGGCGAGGAAGAGGGAGAGAATTCACTGTAAGATATAACCCGGCCTGTTTCATCACACCCAGCACAGTTCAGGTTTTACTGCCCGACAGCCTGAAATATGAACCCATGAAATAAGACATTTACACACAGTAATCAGTCAGGACTTTATGAGGATTGAAAGTGGTATAACAGTGTTTTTATGCACTGATGTCAGGCCGAATGGAGAACAATCTAATATTTCCTACAACGTATTAAACATAAAACACACACTAAAATCACAAAACAACTGGATTCATCCGTCAAATCAGTTCAACTTTAAACCCCAACAAACAGTGAATCTGCAGCTTCTGATTAACTGCTGATAAAATGTCATTTTGCAGCTTTATGCCTGAAGGTGACGGAGCTTTTAACTCTGAACAAACCCGCCCGAGGACAATCAGCAGCATCTGAAATGTCGATCCTAACCTCCTGACTGTGTTATTTGTCATTTTCTTGATACGACCTGTCTCACTGTCTTATTTAAACCAACTAAAAGGAGTTTGTGACTGCTTATAAAACAGTTTAATACAGATACCTCTATATAACCCACCAAAGCACAAGAGGATTAGATATTTCTTTGCCACCGGGTCAGATTCGATCTGATTCCCCCTTGAAATCAATGAAACACTGCCTCTTTTGTCCACATGAGGGCGCCACAATCAACAAAAAGAAAGTTTCTTGTTGCTACTTTAAAGAAACTGATTCTGATTTCTAGAAAACGGCAAAAAACAGTAAAATTATGTCCGTGGTTGAATTATTTCCTGTTACGTAAGAGACATTTTTAATGGTTTGATTTCCCTTTTTTTGCCCAGTGATCTTCTCCAGTCTCTGTCTTCACCTGTCAGGTAGTGATGAATACCTGTTTTGAGTAACACTGGGTTTTAATAAAAGAATAATGATGAAGAACTTCTACATTTGGGACCCACAGACGCTGGAGGAGGAGCAGGAGATCAACCCTGTGAAAACAAACTGCAGCAGAGTGTTTGTTGTTTGTTGTTTTGCTGCAGTCCGGACCGGGCGGCGAGCTCTGCTGAGTCATACAAAGCTCTTCTTCAGCTGCTGAAGCCTGCTGAGGAAGAACGACTGCTGACAACTTCAGCTGCTAATTTAATTATTGATTGAAGGAGGCACAGCGACCAGTGTTTGAGCTGAGGCGTCACGAATAATACATAGAGTCCCCGGAGCTCCCTGAGGAGGCTGTGTGCGTCTCCTTAATTATAAATACAAATGTGACATTGTTTCCACATTTCGTCTGTCACTGTTATTTATGTTTATTTTAGTTTTAATCATTTAACTGTATTCTAAACTTCTACTTCCATTAAAACACGTGTTATAAAACTCCCTTCATGGGACACTTTAAAGGACCAGTGTGGAGACTTTAGTGGCATCTAGTGGTGAAGTTGTAGATTGCAGCCGTCTGAACACCGCTGAGAACGAGCCTCTGCGAAGAATATCTGTGGATCGATTAATGACTCTGTTTTATTCCCACGGCGACTGTTTCAGAAATATTTTGCCTCCTGATTGCTCAGATTTAGTTGATTTAGTCTTTTTTGACCAGTTGCTCGCTGTTCCTGTGTCTGACTTCCTGCCCGGATTTATCTTCTCTGCGCAGCTTCTGTCAAAAAATAAACCCGTATTCTCGTCTTAGACGTTTCTGAAAGGCACTTCTGCTTCGGAGGAACGAATACAGCAAAATGTTTCGATGTATATATTGACATGAGTATTGTTTTAAGACCTATCCTTCAAACATTTAAAGAAATGTTCTATTATTATAACACATGTAGAAGATTACCAAAGGTACTTTTAAAGTTTCTAAAATGTCTCCAGACTTTGGTGCAATATTAAATCTATTTATATATTTAACTTTTATTCCTCCAGTGGATTAATTCAGCCTTTATCTGCTGTCCACAGAGCAACCACACTGCAGCAGCTCGGGGTTGAGTCTGTTTGCTTAAAGGCACATCAGCAGAGAGTAATAAAAACAACTCATAATATTATATAATCAACCTCTTAAACAAGTACAAAAGAAATGATTCATGAACTTATTTAACATTAAAAGGTTCAGAAAGCAGCAGGGAATTCATGTTATTGTGTCACATCTGCAGAATCAATAAAATAAACATGTTTCATAAACTTCAGCATGCGACGGATGTAAAAAAAACTAAGAGGATAATAATCAGATAAACACGAGAAAGGTCAGTGGATTTCGAGGAGAAGGCAGAGCAGCGAATGTACTTAAGTATTATTTCCTAACAGCAGAGATTTGGACAGAAAGTGGATGCTGGAAAATGTCACCGAGGGTTATTCTGTAAGAGCAGACATGTTTAACACTCAGCTGACGTCAGCGAGGCCTTTTCCAGTGAAAACAACCTTCTGTGTTTCCTCATCTGCTCGACAGCAGCCAGAATAACCACACACACACTGGAATAAATGCATAGTTTATCATATCATAACAATAATTCTCAAGGCTACATCGTAAATAAAACAGTCTAGGAGGTTTTTGGGGGGAGTGTAGCCTAAATTATGAACAGGAAGTGAGGTGAACATCATCAAAGAAGAGGTACATACGAGTATTTATGCTCATTTTGTGAGGCGACGCAAGACAACAGTTGCTCTAAAAAGGTAAAATCGCTGCAACTACTGAGTATAATGAGTGATCGCCTTGCATTTCATACAGCTACGAGCTACCGGAGATCACAATTTAGGCTACTTCTGCTACAGTACAGTATCGCTTTGAGTTCCTCTAGATACCTGAATACAAACAGCGACCCGCTGTGGAAAGAAAGAGAGAAAGTCCGTCGTTCCTCTACAGGCATGTTTTTAAAAAGAAGTCTCCATTCAGTGCAGAGTGTGGGGGGGGGGTCCGCAGTGGTTCTGGAGGTGAGTTCTTGAAGGGAAGAGGTGCAGGAGGTGGTCTTCAGGGTGGATCCAGAGACCACTGACAGGGTTTCTGGGAATTTGAGGGGGTTTATTTGGGGGGTTTGTTGGTTCGTCGGGGAGGTTTTTAAGGGTTAAAGTATTTGAAAAGGTTCTGTAGTTCTTGAGAGGCTTCCAGGGGTCCTTCCTCGGGGACATTGGGGGTCTAAGTGTCCTTGAAGGGGGTCTTAAGTGGTCTAAGAAATCCCTAGAAAGTGCAGAGCATGGATGGATTACGGAGCGGGGTCTACTGGACACAGCACCGGACCACAGGGACGTTTCCAGGCGGAGTACCGTTGTATCTCCGGAGGGAAACCGTACGCAGGCTGCTAGATGGTCCTCAAGTGATGTCACTCGAGTCAGTTGTGGTTTCTGAAGACCACGAGTCGGAAACGTCTGTCGGCGTGGAGGTAGAAAGACGAGTGAGTTTACCCGACCTCTAGCGGCCGCTCCGTCTCTGCTGCAAGCTACATGAGCCGTTACTAACATGTCCGACCTGCTGCTGATCATGTTGCATTGTGGGAAACGTAGGCACCAGGAATTTAAAAAAAAAAAAAAAGAAGATATTTCTGGTTCTGCTGCAAATTAAAAGAACATGTCACTTTTATTTTGGTGTTTTAATATTAAATAGCTGCCAACAGAGGCTGTGGCCGCCATATAAAGATTCATTTTCATTATTGATTAATTCAGAAATTATTTATTCGACATGTTTCGCCTAAAAAAATTAATGTAAAATGTGCATCTGGAGTTCCCAGAGCCCAAAACTATTACCATCAGCACTAAAAGATGTTCAATTTAGAGACAAATAGACAATCAGCTAATTGATTAATCAGCTAATAGAGGCTGCAGTCACATTTTTAATCAGTGTGACGGCTTTAAAGAATCTAATGGTTTCCTGTATTCAGTGTTTCTGTGCTGCAGGAAGCTTTAAACTCAACAGCAGCACTTCAAGAGTCCCTCTGGGGGGCCTTTAACACGTCTGTGCCCAGGGGCCCCGGTCGCCTCATAATCCATCCATGAGTTTAAAAGATGTATCTATAAGTTTTCAGAAGAACCACCATTTTTTATCCCTCCTCACACAACAACACAGAGGAAACTAAAACATCCCTTTAAAGGAGGTTAAATCCATATAAAACCTCCTCAAGACTGTTTGGATTAAAGCTGACAGAAAACAACCCCCCCCTCACCACCGGCATCCTGCATGCGGAACACTGATGCATCCCGGCGGCCACTTCAACCCCCCCCCCCCTCTGTCCTCCCTCTGGTCCTCAGTCAGCATCCCAAACTCTGGATGATGTGTCTCTGCGCGCCGTCCTCTCCCATCCATCCTCGCTGCAGCCTCATGTCAGGTGTGTGCAGTCACCTACATAATGTGTGTGTGTGTGTGTGTGTGTGTGTGTGTGTGTGTGCTGTATAGTCATCCGAACCTCGGCGGGCACTCGGTGCGGTTCGGTGCCTCGGTGCTGGTGTTGTTGTTGTGTGAGTCCGGTGCCCAGAAGAACACATAGTAAATGACCAGGATGAACGCGGCCACGGACACGCAGAGGAAATAGACAATCGCCATCGCCACTTTCACCCAAATCTTAGTTGACATGTTGGTGTGTTTGGCCCGCAGCTCTCCGGGGTAGCTCGGCCTCCGCTTCATGTCCCCGTTCAGCTTCTCCGCGGTCAGGGTGCTCTGCCTGCCGGCCGCTTTCATCTTGGTATGAGAGCTAAGACCTGGTCCAACGATGTTTCCTCTGCTGAGTGTTGTGTGTTCATTGGAGTCCGGACAGCAGAGCACAGCTGTCCTCCCTCTTTTTTCTCTCTCTCTCTCCCTCCTTTCTCTCGCGGCTCTGGTCTCCCTTCGGGTGCAGGATGTGGTCTCAACCCCTGTTCGGGTCCCTGGTTCTGTATCCGCAGCACTGTGGAGCTCCCTGACCCCTCTGAGTCCTCAGTGCGCACCGGGCAATCTGAACTCAAGGAGGCGGCACTGGCATCAGCTGGATGGGACCGCTGTAAAGCTGGACGGGCTTAAACAGGCCGCTTCCGGTAAGACCCTTCAAAATAAAACAAACTACCGAACATGGAGGAGTTTCAGCCCTTTATTGTGTTCAGATTAATCAATTCAAAGATGGAAAAGAAAGAAAGACATAAAGTAACATTAAATAATAGTAATACGATATTTTATTATACAGAATGTGGAGACGCAGGTTGTTGTTGTTGTTCTTCTGTTTTAATGTTTGATTTGTTCCACAATATAAATCAGGTGTGTTTAACATCAACATTAATAAAGCGATAGATGATAATATCCAGTAGGTAGTTAGTTTAACTGCAGTGTTTATCCACCATTAGAGTGATTACAGCACATCTCAAACCCAGATTGTCTTCAAGGACTAAAAGAAAGTGTAATATTCTCAATATTTAGAATACATAAATAAATATTCGACATTATACTTAAAAACAATGCAGACAGCAGTTTTTATGCATTTTTAAATAATTATATATATTTTAGATTTAGCCAAACAACAAATGAAGGCCGTAAGTCTCCTTATCAACTGTTTACAAGCATTCGTGGGCACCATTGACCTTTATTTAACCTTTATTTAACCTTTATTTGACCTTTATTTTTCACCAAATGAAAAACAATTATTAAAAACTTCTTAACATGCCAAGTTCATTACATTTTAAGGATTATTTAACCAGCTAATAAACCTAAAGTATCCGTCTTTGTGCTAAACTCACGATGGATGTGATGTTTCGGTCACATTAATCCTACGCTAGCTCGAGGCGTTGTCAAATAAAATCTAAATCTCAATATTTCTTACAGCCCAGAGACATTTTTAAGCTGTGGATCATTACATATATTACTAAAAGTGAAAGCACAGTGGATCAGGTCTGCTGATACATTTGACTGGACTATCATGATGAGGGTAAAAACCTTTATTCTGAAGGACAAGTCAACACGTTTCCGGCGCCACTGTGCGTGCCTCTGTCTGACTTGACTCATCTTCGGACGAGGAGGGGCTGAAAGTACGCAACACCCAACGATTGGGTCATAGTTTGAGAGAAACGTCCCGCAGCAGAAGATGGGAGAGATGCAGTCTTCATCCACAAATTATCACCGCCTCGGATTCTCTTCCTCCAGCAGCTGGAGACCATAAAACACACACTAACACACACACACACACACACACACACACACACACACACACACATAAAAACCCTTTCCCTACACTGATGAGTCACAGGCTGCAGCCATAACATGCAGGCTGTGCATTGAGGGGGGGGTGTCTACCCCTCATTATTAATAGCCCCCATTCTTCTTCCTCCCGTCCTGCAGCAGCCAAGGTCAAAACTGTGATTTAAACACAGCGTCGGAGCACTCGGGGCTTTTAATATGAGCACTCGGGGCAGAAAGGTGTCCCACTGCCACACTGCACACACACGTATGTGTCTGGTGGAGGGTGAATAAAGGAGCTGCAGCATTACCAGCACACATTTTCTAGAGGATCTGCACTTTAAAGGAGAACATTAAGTCAGGCAGAAACATTCAACCTGCCACTGAAGAGTATTTTTATCTGTCTCACACCTACAGAGGAAGCAAAAGAAAAAGGAGAGACGTGACTTCAGACATCAGAGGAATACATTTATTGGTTAAATGAAAAAACAAAAAAACTGATGTGTGCTTTACATTTCATGTTGAGTACAGGCTGTATAAACGTCAGGGGCTCCTCGCTCTGACGTACGAAGCTGACGGCGAGGACATTTATTCCATCGATGGCTTTGACAACATTAAAAAGCTACAGTTTCAGATTCATGCTATAGTCCTGATAATCTTATGAAAACAGTTGCACAGCACTCTCCAAAAAACAAAAAACATCCCCTTTGTTAGTCCCTCCGTGATTTCATGTATCAAAACAGGAAGACGTTGTAGAAATGGATGTACATTACATGAGATATCTACCGCCTTAAATACAATCAGTCATCGAAAAAAAGCTCAGGAAAAAACAACAAAAACAACCAGATGCAAAAAAGAAAACAACCATAATTGTTTAATAGCTCAAAAGGCTTTTCACAAAAACACCCAACTGTGGAATGTTTATTTAAAAACTGTACATATTGTAGTTCCTTTCAACCAAAATGCATCATTTTTTTTATTCCTCTGATACAGAAACACACACACAAAAAGAAACCCCCCCCACACACACATTAAAGCATCCCATTTATCCGCGTGTCTTCAAACGCCACAGGCGAGCCGCTACGACTAAACGTGATTCAAAGAGCCGGCGGCAGAACACACACAAAAGCAAGAACTCAAAAACAAACCAAACTAAAAAGCCCTTGGTCTGCTGAGGTATGAGTGAAGGGTTTCATTCCAAAGAGAAGCTGTTATTTAAGTTGTAAATTCATATTTATACACTTTAATGGAAGTCGGTTTTTCCAAATATGAGGTTTATATCCTCAAAAACACGGCTGTTAACAAAAATATACATATTAAATGTAAAATATCCTGTTTTCTTTCATAGCTTCAAGCCATTTTGGAATGAGACCCTTTTGATTTTTTAAAAACTTTCCATCTAAAGAGGCAGTGTGTCATCTAAAGGGGGGGAGGGGAGCTCGTATCAGCTCGGATACGACAGATTTCTCTGTAGGACTGATGATTCACAGCCCATCAAATCACCAAAATGGCAGCACAGTCTGCGTCACTGAACATATCAAATGTTCTCTGATTAGAATTACTTCATTAAAAAGACGACAAACAGGCCCGACTGCTCTAAAAAAGGGACATGATTGGTTTGTTTCTGACAGATTTGAGATGAGGAGATGTGTCCTAAAGCAAGACACCTGATCCTAGAAGTTAATCTGGGTGAGAGCGTCAGACAAAAACATTCACATCTGACCCACATGATCACTGAAGTCAGTTATTGTCACACACACACACACACACACACACAGCTGGCTCTGATGCAAAACATAAAATACACTTAAAAAATACCTTTAGTGTCTTTAAATGTCTCCAATGATTAAAACAATATGGAGCATCAGTTGGGATCTGATATGAAAAAGACATTTTTCAAAAGTAAAAAGCAATTTAAAAAAGAAAAACTACAAAATAAAACTAAAGAGCAGGACAGGCTGGAGGCTGGAGGGTGAAGGCCCCCCCCAATCTCTACACGATGGAGACGAACGCAGCTGAGATCACAAAGCTGGCCGCCACAATCAGCAGTGACTCTCAGTTGCGAGACAAAAGCTCAGGAACAAGTGCGACCGGTGACGAGTCCAGTCCAGAAAAGAAGAGTTCAAATATTGTGTAAATCAGAACCGACGAGTCGTCCACAGGTGAAGGTTTAATCCAGCATTGTTCGGATAAATAAAATAAAAAAGGTCTGATAATGTAAATATATTTCCAAACGTAGCTCGCTCTGAGAGTCTCAGTCTCTAATGGAGTTTGTAAAATGAGTCAATTCATGTTAAAGAGGAATTCCACTGATTCTTTACACATTAAACTCCAGGCGACGGAGAGAACTACTGTACACGTGGACACGCTGCGTGGAATCTGTCCTCAAGTGATGTCACTTGAGTCAGCATCGGGTTGAGTCTGAAGACTACAAAAAACCCCCCCCAAACAAATCTGTTGGTGTGAAGTTAAAAAGACGTCTGCAGCCGGCTGGAAGCTCGAGGTCACATTAACCCGAATCTCAGAGCGATCTGTAGGCGGTTGAGTTGCATTATGGGTAATGTAGGCGCAATGTTTTGAGAAGGAAGAAGAATCTCTAATTCTGCAGCATCGATTTTGGTTTTTTTTTTTTTTTTTTTTTTAAACTGACCATCGTGAGTCCGGAAATGTTATCGGAGCTCAGCCGCTGGAGAAGTGTTAACGTAGCAGGTCGAGAGCAGATGTGTTCGCCAGGGCTCAAACGAGACAGACGGTCGCTCAGGTCACCCCGAGGTTAATTAACTGCAAGCTGCCGTCGTTCAGACAAAATGAATCAGAGCAATCTTTAAAAGAAGTAATTATTTTCCAGACAAAAACCAACAGAAATTAGCCACATGTGTTCTGTTCCTGAGACAGACGACGAGAGCCTTTTATAAACCGAGATCAGGGCCAGTCTTCAATGATCCTCTGTGATAATATTTCTACACATGTGGTCTTTTGGACAAAATCTGATCCTGTTCAGTTCTTTTTCCTGAACGTGTTGAAGCTCTGAACCAGTGACTGACTTTTAATTTCCTACCTGAACACCAAACAGACTGAGACAAGACATGGCGGCCGAGACGTGATCCAAAAAGAGGCCGATCCATGGCGGCGATGCACAGTCTTCCTCCTCTTCCTCCTCGTGATGGTTTAAGTCTTTTTTAATTTTTTTTATAAATTTCGATGTGTGACGGTCACTCCAGTGATGAGTAGTGTGATGCTCTTCGTCCCTCTCATCTTTCCATCCTCCTCAGTTTGTTTCTCAGCAGCTTCAGCCTGTTGATACAAACACAGGGAGGAAGTGGTGGTGCATCCTGTGTGTGTGTGTGTGTGTGTGTGTGTGTGTGTGTGTGTGTGTGTGTGTGTGATTTAATGCCTTCATCCAAAGCACATCCCTGTAACATAAGTGTGCACATTTCTACAGCGAGCAGCCCCCCCGAGGGAGAAACCTTACTGCGACTCCCGGGACATTCAGCTCCTCCTGCTGCTGCTGAATGGGACAACTGATCACATGCAGAGCGTCTAATAATCAATACTGAATCACGCAGCTGCTGTAAGTTTCTCCTTCGCAGCAGGTTGAAGTGACGGAGTTACGATCTGCTATTAAACTGCTAGATGACACTAAAACTAAACTGTGGGACGCAACCGCAAACGTCTCAGTGTCATGACTACAAGGCTTTCCTAAGAAGATGAGTGTTGAAAAGATCAGTCAATTAATCGATCGACAGGGCGCCCTGGTGGGAATAAGGGTTAAGGCGCTGGACAACAACTGCAATCTGAACCAGTCTGCCTTTGAGAAGGACATTTGTTGCATCTCTCTCTATACTGTAATATTTCCTGTCTTCTCTCTGTACTCTCGCTCTCCGCTGAAGTCATAAAACCACCAATAAAATAATCAATGAACATAAAAAAGTACCGACAGATGAACTGTTGAAGTCATTCATCGAGCACAATATTTGTAGTATCAGGTTTCTCAAATGTGAGGTAACGGAAAGAAAACAGGCAGCAGAGACAGACAGCAGAGACAGACAGCAGACAGACAGCAGAGACCAGAGACAGACAGCAGAGACAGACAGCAGAGACTAGAGACAGACAGCAGGGACTAGAGACAGACAGCAGAGACTAGAGACAGCAGACAGACAGCAGAGACCAGAGACAGACAGCAGAGACCAGAGACAGACAGCAGAGACAGACAGCAGAGACTAGAGACAGAAAGCAGGGACTAGAGAGACAGCAGGGACTAGAGACAGACAGCAGAGACCAGAGACAGACAGCAGAGACCAGAGACAGACAGCAGAGACAGACAGCAGAGACAGACAGCAGAGACTAGAGACAGACAGCAGAGACAGACAGCAGAGACTAGAGACAGACAGCAGAGACTAGAGACAGACAGCAGACAGACAGACAGCAGAGACTAGAGACAGACAGTAGAGACCAGACAGACAGCAGAGACAGACAGCAGAGACCAGAGACAGACAGCAGAGACTAGAGACAGACAGCAGGGACTAGAGACAGACAGCAGGGACTAGAGACAGACAGCAGGGACAGACAGCGGAGACAGACAGCAGAGACAAGAGACAGACAGCAGAGACAGACAGCAGAGACAAGAGACAAACAGCAGAGACAGACAGCAGATACTAGAGACAGACAGCAGAGACCAGAGACAGGCGGCAGATACTAGAGACAGACAGCAGAGACAGACAGCAGAGACCAGAGACAGACAGCAGAGACCAGAGACAGGCAGCAGAGACTAGAGACAGACAGCAGAGACCAGAGACAGGCAGCAGAGACCAGAGACAGATTACATTAGCGGACTCTGATTCTCTTACTGTAAGATCACCGGAACAGTGTTAGTGTTTTATTTTTTAAATAGGGGTGTTTGCTGGTACTTGAGTGATTCACGTCATTCGTCTCCATCCACAGTCAGATACTCAACTGTGGAGTCTCACAAGCATCACAAGGTTTAATTCAATCAGACTTCAAACGGCCTCCCTTCTGTCTGCCCTATCATCTGTCCAGCAGGCTGCAGCTCATTTCCTCTCAAAAGCCTTTTAAAAACTTAATTGTGCCTCTAATTTCCCTGGTTTCCTGATCTCCACCCTGACACCAACACATACAATAACACTGCCACACACACACACACTCACACACACACACTGGCCACATGAGCTCATCTGACTTCTGCTGTTTATCACAAATGAGTCCCGAGGAGAAGTGTAAATGTAATCAGTGTGGCTTTTACACCAAAAGAACAAAAGGAGACGACAGAAATCTTTTTCTTACTATTAAAATGGTTCAATTCATCAGATATTTTCAGGTTTTATCAACAATTTATGGAAATAATTTCACCTCGTTTCAGTAAACAATAACTAGAATAAGACGATATTCCTACTAAGCTCTTTACAAGCCTAATGAACATTAATATTCCCGTTTTTTGTGCATGCATCTCTACTCTAAACTGTACGCACAGAGCTGACTAAACAAGCAGCCGTGTGACCCCCAAATGAGACTCAATTAATACTCTGAATGCTCCTAAACCCCAAATAATATCAAATCCAACTTAATTACACAATACTACATTCAGAATAAAGCCTAATTAGGATTAAACCAGAATATACTGTTGAATTTACCCTAATAGTGGACACTCAGTGTAATCTGTGTAATGTTTACAGATTAATCTACCGGACAGAATTTAGCAATTCCTAGCATTATCAATGAAGCCAACGTTAGCTGGCTAAAACGACCATATTACAGCATATTTCACAAGCTTAGCTTTGACTTTGGACTTTATGTTGTTTATAGACGTTGGCAGACTCCGTTTATAAGCCGACATTAGCTGTTGACACTGTCAGTAAAGAGGAGGAGGAGAAGAGCGCATAAATCACAACCTTTGGATTTTTGTGGAAAATCTTAAAAACTGAACATTAAAATAATATTTAAAATGAATCTTACATGTGGAACCTTTAAAAGAACCACAGAAGATCTGTTAAGAGCTCCTTTAATCCAAAGATCACCTTCCCATTCTCACATCAGACTAACCTCCAACTGGGTCGTCACACTAACGCGACACTGAGCAACAAGTCGATCTAAAAATTATTCTCCAAACTTAGCCATTAGCCGACGGCAGCCACAAGCTGAGTGGTTGTAAGGAGACCAGCTAATGACTGGACTTCCTCTAGTCTGTGGTTTATTCACTTATAGCACACTCTTAAACCACCGTGTGCAGAAACAAAAAAGGATGGACGGATGGATCCACGCGGACACGTAGCTCAATGAGTGAGTGGTTTCTATTCCCATCGGTGGCTCTCGGGCTGAAAGTGTGCACACAGAAGAACTACGGTACCGCGGCGGGCTTTGGATTCAAGCGTTCACCGAGTAGAAATTTCATGTGGTATTATTTTACAGGAAGTGTTCGTATCTGGTTGAATCTACTGTATCAACCTCAATGACAATAAAAGTTTTTGGCATCAATTAAAAAAACAACTTCACATCCGTTATGTATTTGATCATCAGGGGAGAGAAAACAGTTCAAACAGGAGCCTAGACACCAACAGTATAGTCTTAATATAGGATTTATATTGTTTACACTTAATATTTTCATTTGACTTAAAATCTATTTCCTGTAAACTTCATTTAGCCATTTAAAAGCCTTCTCTATACTTATAAAGGAGAAAATGCAGTTTTTAAATCATTCATTCATTGTTGTTCTCCCAGAAGCAGTCCAATAAAAAGTGTCTAGAAATACTGAAATCCACCCCAGAAAACTATAAAACTCATAATTTGGGGGTCTTAATGAAATCGGGTAATTAAATTTAAGGCTGTTTATGATATTTTTAAGTCAATATCCTTGAATCCAACTGTTTTCTAACTGCTCCACAGTGACTTAGAGATGTTTATATCTGCTGTGGCAACATGTACCCCTCCTACTTCAGACACACAGTGAAGCAGTGCAAAGAAACCAGTTAAAAAAGGTCAACTGGAAGATGATAAACCAGCCCATCAGAAGCAGAGGAGAAAGCAGATTGAGGTTTGCATTCATGGCAAACAGGAACCAGAATCTCTCAGAGTACTGTCAGTGTCATTAGGCCAAACACTTCTGTTATGATTTGGTGCTGTACAAATTAAACTGAAATCACCCTCTTGATCTTAAATCCAGTGACGCATTCAGTTGCATTTATGAGTAAAACCTTTGATGAGGAATGATGCAGCAAAGTGGGTCTAACTGATTACAAACATAAAAGGTAGTGAAGGGGCAGTTTAGCTCGAGACATCTGGTTCCTGATATGAGATGAATGTACAGAAAACAGGCTACACACAGGGTCACATTTCACTTCTCGCTCCTCAGCAGTAAAAACATAATTTGATTAACAGACTCGCATTAGCACCCGGAAAACTGAAGGAGCGAGAAGGAGAGGAGTTACAACCGAGGGATGGTAACGCAGGCAGCATGCCATGCAGCGCTGCAAGCATTTTCATTACAGCCACAAAAAGGATGAAAACAAAAAAAGGGAAAAAAGGGTTTCACATGGTGAGGAAGGACAGGGGCAGTATACACCACACAGGGAAATACAGAAGACCATCACAGGAGGTGGAGTTAGTACTTTCAGTCCATCACAGGAGGAGCAGGAAGACAGTCAGGAGGAGTTTCAAACAGGAAGTAGGGATCTTGATTGGTTGGAGGATGCAGGGACAGATCCAATGCTTGTGAGTGTTTAAATATATCTTTGGATTGCCACTAAACAGCTCCCACCATTACTTATTTAGATGTGGAAGCAACCAAAAAAAAAAAAAGCGAGGCTGAGTGAGCAAGGAAGACAAAAAAAAAATGACGATATCAAACCACCACAATCACAAAAAAAGAAAGAGTGAAGCGTGAGAGGGCGTTAGAAGTACGCAGCAGATATCTTACAGTAAGCCACTGTCTCAAAGTCACTGATATAGACCGCACCTGAGGACGTCTGCTCTGAGGACTCCACGGTCTCTGCTGTCGGAGCAGCGTCGGTCGCAGCGGGCGCTGTGTCGTCATCGTCATCGTCTTTCCCTCCTGCCGGTTCAGACGAGCTCTGGTCGGCCTCCAGGGTGGCTGGAGAGGGAGCGGAGTCCAGTTCATCAGCTGTCAGAGAGAGAAGTGTCAAACTGGGTTAAATTCTAATTAGTCTGTTTATCTATAAAGTTAAAATGCTGAGCTGAGATGTTAGGAATAGTATACAGTACACTTGCTTTAAACCTGCAGTAACAGAAACATTAACATATATCATTGATGTGGTTAACTTCATGGCAAACAGCTGCTTATTTACACATCCAGCAGTTATGGAGCAACATGATCATTCATTTGGAGTCGTGTTTGTGTTTAAATCTAATATTCACTCTCTTTTAGGTTTGTTCTTGGTCTCTACCAACTCCTGATAGAAATGTCTCCACTGTGTTCACCAGCTAGTCTCTAAATTATGTCTCTCTGCTGTTTGTTGCTGAGCAGATAGTGTACAGTGGATCTTTTAGAGTTTTTGTGTATGAAAACAGCTGCCTGCTGCGGGTGAGAGAGAGAGCTACGAGAGCGGAGAGTGAACAAAACAGTAAAGTTGAGGGACTGGCGAGTAAGAATGAGCTGAAACTCACATAATAATTCTCTATGGGTTCATAACTAAGAGAAGTTAAGAACTTAAGGCATCTTTAACATCAGCATGTTAGCCTGCGGCTGTAGAGACTTTGTTACCTTGTGATGGAGCAGCAGGTGTATCCTGGTCCATCATCACAGCGGCCTCATTGACCTCAGAGGGGGCGGGGTGAGATGGTGCAAGGTCAGAGGGGGGCGGGGTGAGATGGTGCAAGGTCAGAGGGGGCGGGGTGAGATGGTGCAAGGTCAGAGGGGGGTGGGGTCAGATGGTGCAGCATCAGAGGGGGCGGGGTCAGATGGTGCAGGGTCAGAGGGGGGGGTCAGATGGCGCAGCATCAGGGGCGGGGTCAGATGGTGCAGCATAGGGGCAGGTCAGAGGGGCGGGGTCAGATGGTGCAGCATCAGAGGGGGCAAGGTCAGATGGTGCAGCAGAGGGGTCAGAGGCGGGTCAGAGGGGGGGGTCAGATGGTGCAGCATCAGAGGGGGCAAGGTCAGATGGTGCAGCATCAGAGGGGGCGGGGGCGGGGTCAGATGGTGCAGCATCAGAGGGGGCGGGGTCAGATGGTGCAGGGTCAGAGGGGGTGGGGTCAGATGGTGCAGGGTCAGAGGGGGGTGGGGTCAGATGATGCAGGGTCGGATGGTGGAGGGTCGGACGGTGCGGGGTCGGATGCTGGTGCAGCGGGGGAGTCTGCTGGAGTGGACTCTGGTTCTGACACTATCACAGTCTGCTGGGCTTTAATCTTTTCTGAAGGAGAGGAAACGCTAATGACTGAGCATGGAAGACGGGGAAGGATTGAGAGAGGGATGGAGGGGGGGGTTAAAGACAGTGAGGAGGCCGGGGTGGAGAGAGTAAGAGTCAGGGAAAAGAAAAAAAAGACAGTTGAGACAAGATAAGACACAAGGAAAAGTCGAGCAGAGAACACGAGACAAGACACAAAATCAAAAGAGACGGAGAAGAGGAGAGCTACATTTCAAAAAGCATTTCTCTTCTCCGACCAACTTTTTTCATCCCCACGTTGAGACAAATCCAGGAGATAAATCAGAGAGCAAACGGAGAGAGAGAGAGAGAGAGAGAGAGAGCAGAGTGACAGAGAGGAGAGAAAAGACTGATGTCAACAAACAGCGAGCACAGTGATAGACAACAGTATCACAGTATCACTGGACACCTACGTATTGATTGATACACTATAATATTACCAAAATGTTCCCCACAATGTCACAAATCACTAAAATGGAGAGAGAGCGCCGTCTCCTCCTGTCCACATGTCCATGAGAGGGTCAAATACACTCCACTTTGGATAAAAGCAATGTATAAACTCAGTAATTGTGTATGTTCTATTACAAACTTCTATCTGTACCTGTAGCTTCTCCTTCCTGTGGCTCAGCAGGTTCACTGGAGCTGGCGGCTTGGCTCTCCGTCTCCTCCTGCTCCTTCTTCTGGGGCGGGCTGCTGTCCACACTGGGGGGTTTCAGTGGGCTCTCACCTTCCATGCTGCTCCGGGGCGACAGCATCTCCATCTCCTCCCCCCAGTCTGTTACAGGCCGGTGGCTGTCGAGCGGGGAGAAGGGGCTGAGGGGCTTCCCTCCCTCCGGTGACTCCTGAACTGACGGGGCGGGGATGTGGACCTTTGGCCTGGGGGTCCGCTGCTCTTTGGGGCTTCCTGCTGATGCGGGTCGCGAACGAGGTGCGGGAGATGTGGGGGAGTTGTCTTTGCTCTTGGTTGGTTTCTCTTTCCCCTTGTCTTTCTTCTCATCGCCCCTGGAGTCGTGTTCTGAGTCGCTCCCTTCCTCATCGTCTTCTTCATCGCTGGCATCCTCCCATTCTTCCTCGTCATCCTCTCCGTCTCCGTTCTTCTGCTCCACCTGAGAAAAGATAAAGAAAATCTACACAGTCAGGATTTATGGAGTCGTGTTTCTGGTGAAGCCAATATTTACTCTCTTGTTATGCTTTTAGGTTTGGTCTCTTCCAACTCCTGAAGGAATTATCTGGCTCTGTAGCAGTTAAATGCTCCACTATGTTGACGAGCTAGTCGCTAACTAAGTCCGTCTCCCGTTTGTTGCTGGGCAGGTAGAGGGCAGTGGGTTTTTAGAGCTCTAAAAGATCAACGCTATCAGGGAGGAGAGACTACGAGTGATTTCTTTCACACACTAAGAGGCATATAATCCATTGTTAATACAAAAATAATGATTATAGCGGTTTTAAATCTATCCATCCTTAAGTGATTTTAATTAACTGTTGCTCGACTGCTCTGTTTCTTTGAGTAAGCGCTCATGTAGTAAATGTGCTCTAGATCAGTGGTTCTCAGCCTTTTTGGCGTCAAAGACCCCCAAATTGATACTCATCAGGCCATGGACCCGTATTTGATAAGTTGGAGGGATCCCAGTTTGATAAGATTTAGTTAATCAATAACTGTCTACACTGTAGATAATAACAGTGAAAAGTGTGAAACCTATGAACAGAATAATCATTCTAGTGCATTCTCTAAATTCTAGTCAGTGAAATTATAGTTAAATTAAAATATTCCACCCTCTCAAGGAGCTGTAGGGGATCCCCGGACACCAGGTTGAGAACCACGTCTTTAGACTGAATTGTCTTTTTCTTTGTCGATTTTCAGCGAGTCTGACACTTTACAGCAAAGCGAACATGAACACGTCCAGTTTTAGTTCCCTGTCTGGGTTTCACTCCAGCTGCCACCGCCTAATGTACGTCACTGATGAGTTTGCTTGCATTATTAATCCAGATGAGGCCCCCTTCTACCTTCGGTGTTGTCGGAGGTTTGGATTTTTCTTCCTCCTTCTTCTTTGGCTTCTCCTCTCTCCTCGTCTTGTCCTCCTTTTCCTTGTCCTCCTCCTCTTTCTCTCCTTCCCACCGGTTGTCATGCATGCTGTCAAAAGGCATCCAGATGTGTCAGAGGTTGAATGCACATCAACGTTAGAAGCAGCAAACACCAAACTCACAAATTACTCCTAACAAAACACACACAGCGATGAGTTTACAGAGTAAAGAACATAATATAAATCAACTGGGGAACAAACTAAAACAACGACAGACAGACTGAAATGTTAGCAGCAAGCATCTGTAAGCATTAACCATTATGGAAAACATCCAAATGTTTCAGTGGGTGAAAAACATTACACTTGCCAACACCCAGAATCCCCTAATGGAAATTCACAATAACAGGCCAACAAATGGAAACAGTCATCATTAAATCAATCTTAAATAATAAGTTACATTATTAACACCATAAAAAAGGTCGTCCATGATAAACAAAATAAACACTTAATGTATTTATTAAGTTCTAAAGTAGACTTGTTGTCTGTACGAACTAAATATTTACCTGTAGCTCGGTTTCTGTCCTCTGCCCCTTCCTCTTCCCCGGTCCCCTCGGGGTCCCTGGCTCCTGCCCTGGGACAGGAAGTCGCCAAATGTCGGAGTTTTCGGAGGCCGCTTGCTGTCGTCTGGAGGAAATATTGATGGTAAAAATAAGCTTTTTTTTTTTAAAAATACACTTGATCTTAAAAGGTGAATCAGAGAGAGGGGTGTGACTAACAGATGAGGAAAGAGGTGATGGATGAATGTTTAAAGTTTCTTCTCAAATGACTGAAATCATTTACCTTGCAGCAAGTGATACATAAAACCCAAATTAAAGATCAATGCATAACATAAAAATATAAAAATACTATTTGTGCACTCAATTAATCCCATACAAAAAATGTTCTGTATTAGTAAGAGTGGAGTCCTCTAATGACTGTATTGAAGACATTTAAACGAGTATTCAGGAAAATCCATTCCTCCGTCTGTTTCCCCCCCTTCCTGCTGCAGTCTGAGCGTTGATGACAACGGCTGTCCTGCAGTGTCAAACCGCTGCAGAGTCCATCTGAACTTTGGGACAAGGTCAAACGTCTGTGTTAGTGAGTGGGCGATGAATGAGTGGGAGGGAAGGAGAGGAGATCTTACAGATTTTAAAAAGAGGGATAAAGAGTGCTATAGGCTGGTTTTCATTATATTGTGTGTGTCACGTAGAGAAAACACACCTTTTAAAAGACTTTAAATACAGTAAAAACATACACTGCCTCCAAGTGAGCAGCATACGAGAGGTTGGAGTTAAAGTGGTTTAAGAAGTATTTTCAGACGTGGTTAATCATTGTTTTTATATAGAAATCATGATTAGGAATGACAAGAGCAGACAACAAGAGGGACAAAAATAAAAAAGGTAGGGTGAAACTCCTCTGAGGTTTTGGAAATGTAACACTCAGGATGTAATTATGAATTATTTCAGTCACAATCAGAGTGTAACAGAGGGAAAGACGACTCGATCTCTCCCCTGAATTCATAATGGAGGAAAATGAAAGAGGATGAAACGAGAGAGAGATGTTAGAAGAAAGAAAATGTGATCGTATGTGACAGAGAAAGGAAATGACAGTGTGGAAGGTGAAGGCAGTCAAAGTGAGACATCGAGCAGCCTGATGGAGGGATGAAGGAAACAGAAAGGTCAGAAAGTGGGAAAGAAAAGTAAAAGGAGGTATGAAGGAATGAGTAAAAACCTCCAAGTTACAGAAAGATGTGAGAGGAAGGGAAGAAGGGAAGGTCACAGAGGGGAGGAGGAGAAGGATAAGAGCATGAAGGGGGAGAGATGAGGATGTTATAAAAAAAAGGTCAGAGAGAGAAAGTACAAAAGAAATGAAGGGATCAGTGAGGAGAAAAGAAAGAACTGACGAGAGGATGATGAAGAGATTGAACAGAGTAGCTCGGGGCTGTGAAGAGGACACTCAAGTCATTCCAGAAATTAGAAATTGGACACACACACACACACACACATATAGAGCCAAAGCGAGTGCAGGCTTTAATGTGGGGCAGGTGTAAAGCCTTAATCTGTAATATACTCTCCAGTTATAGTCAGACACAAAGACATACACAAAAAGAAAAGGACTGAACAGCAGTTAGAAATAATTCTCAGCTGTTGTTTGAACCTTCTCACAGTACAACACAGCTTGGAAGATTTTTGACTTTAAGACTCGTTATTTGACTTTCCAGTGGAAACATCACCCACAAGACAACACTGAGAACTATTTACAAACACTGTTTGACGTCCCGAGGTTGGTTGGTGTGTGTGTGTGTGTGTGTGTGTGTGTGTGTGTGTGTGTGTGTGTGTGTGTGTGTGTGTGTGCGTGCAGTCAGAAGCTTTTGAAGTGCTGCCAGCCTCGGGGGAAAGATTAGCAAATCCTTACAGACGCTCACCCAATTCCAAAGCAAAACCCTGAAAAGGAAACTGGACTCGGTTTGAGGTCAAACCTCCACTTTCGTTATCTGTACGGCTGATTTTAATGATACAAATTACTCAAATTTAGGTAAGGCCTGCGAGCAAGGCCCAAATCTGGGATGTTTGAAGGTTTTAGAAAGCTACATTTAAGACTTTTAAAGATTACACAGCCCTATTAGAAACAGAAAATAGGAATATTAGGCAAAAAATTAATAAATTAATAAAAATAAATGAAGAATTACTGTTAAAAATATTAGATGCAGCTGTGTGTGCTCTATTAATTTGGGTCCAGTTATGTACGAATTTATAATAAAACCAGTAATAATCGTCTTTAAGAGGTTTTCATACTTTTTCTTTTAAGTGTCTGACACAGTACACACACACAGTGTACACTGGGTGTGTGTAAACTACAAATAAATTATATTTATTAACTACAATGGGCTGGTTGTTCAGTTTGTGAGTCAGGGGTTGAGTTTGGTTTTGGGTGCAGATGTTGTGCTTCAGGCAAACACAAATGGAACAAAACCAAAAAAACCAAAAACAACACACACAGTTTGATCTCAGTCCCATGCTGTGGTCTAACCTGAGGCCCTGCCCCGAGGCTCTGTACGAGGGTTACGCCCCCGGGCTGCAGAGAGGACACACACAAACACATTACAGTACGTCCAACACACACACACACACACACACACACAAAAACAAAATATTACTTCTGCACTTCAACTGTAATACAATTATTTTAGGAAAGAAATTAGATAAAAGAAAACAAACTCCTGTCTGGAGAACGTAGGTCAGGACAACATTTAATCCCGTCTACTTTAAGTTCTCCTTTTAGTTCAGACTGACATCTGGTGTTTTATAAAATATCCAGTCGCGGCTCCTTAAATGTTCCCTACGAGCAACCAGTAGGAACGAAAGAGCAGCATTAAAGATGCAAAGCCACTCGAACACAGTTTGACTTGTTTTGCTGCTCTGTGTCTGATGTCCTGGGATTACCACAGTCCCACATTACATTATTTTATCAACCGGATGACTGGCTGAAATAACCATGAGCAAAATTAAGCTCCCCTGCCGACGCTGTAAGGAGACGACTTCAGAGTCTCAAGGCATTAAGTCGCTCTCCAGCTGACGGGGTTAAATGTTGATTTACTTACAAGGACGTGAAACTAAAATTTAACTTTTGTTAATCTTGGTTTTCATAACAGATATAGCTGAGAACACACACCAACACCTATTGCAAAATAAAACAAATACTTTAAATATATTAATGTTAGTTTAAACATTTATCAATTTTAAAATACAAAATGTAACTTTTTGGTGGATTTTTGGCTCCAGGTGAGAAGAAGTTGTGAATTTTAAGACATAACTTTGCTCTTGTGATGGGCAGCTGTAATTTTTTGACATTTAACAGACTTAAAAAATAATGAATGCTAAATATGTGGAATATATATTTTTAGCTAGTTTATAGTGGTCACTGCTGTTTATCTACTTCTAACCCATAAAGGAAAACTGGGATCCTTTTGAAAGCTCCTCTCAGATCAGCACGACCGCAGCTTAAGAAGTTGATTTGGACTCCAGGGAAATACAGCACGCATTTACATAACGAGCTTAATCAACTTCTATTTACATAACGGCCTTAATTAGCTGAAGAGGTAGATGACGTTGTGTCCTACGTTGTGTGTTTGGTGTTTACGATGTGTGTATGCGACGATATGTTGGAGTGACATCGTGTCAGACGAGCGGAGGTGCGGGGGTGAAGGTGGATTGAGGGTCTGCTGCTGTTGTGTAACCACAGCAACAGCACACTGGTTGTGTGTGTGTGTGTGTGTGTATGTGTGTGTGTGTACTTGCCTCTCCTGCTGCCCTGCTCGGGTGTGATGCCCTCTGCAGCCACATAAGGGTCCTCCTTGAACCTGTGAAAAAAGCCTCAGGGTTAAAACACACATCAAATATCAGCGCGCTCCGTCTTGTCACGCCACTCTGAGTCCCTGTCAGAGGGAATAAAGATGACGATTATCCTCACGAGGAACTCGGTGGAGACTTGATGGAAAGTTTTTTACTGTGTTTGGGTTTAGTATTAGAGCTCAGAGCTCACCGGTTTAGTGTTGGACCACGACTTTGTTTATTCCAACTGGATCCAATTTTGAATCTCTGCTAGACTTGAAATAGTATCTGAAAACATTGTCCCACTTAGCTACAGTGCACATCATCGTGGGCCCATTTTACTATTTTCTGTCATTTAATAGACAAAACAATTTATCAGTGAAGTGAAAAAATACCCGTCACATTAAATCGATGATGAAAATAATCGTACGTTGCAGACGTAGATCAAAGTACTCAAACATTATGATGCAAAGGAGTGAGATAACAGTCAATATGTGCACAAACACAGGACTGTAACACATTTCAAACTTGGCAGCGTCACAGAAATCGAGTCAATTTAAGGTAAATAAATAAATAAAAATCACACCCCTCTCCCATCTCACATGTTCTCGGTCTTCTGTGCGTCCCACTCTCGTCTCCACTGGCCTGTGGCATTACGATGGCGTGCTAGTCTCTCCTCGTCAATCTGCTCACGCTCCTTCTTCCAGCGCAGGTACTCTGCTCTCTCCCGGCCGGTCATAGACATCGTCATATCCATGGAGCCTTTCTGACCGGGCCTGCGACTCTACGGGGACAAGCAGGGGTCACAAAGTGGTCAGGACAATTAAAACCCAAAATAATAACTCTTTTCTTTCTTTCAACCCCTATTTTTTTTTTAAAGATTGACATTACTCACAGTCCACTCTTTCTCCAGCTCTGCTCCGGTCTTCACATTGTCGAAGTCCAGCCCTCCCCAGTTTCGTACATGTCTCCTGCTGCCCTCCTTGCGGTCTATGTCTGGTGCTGGGCCTGAACGTCTCGGGTCGTCCAGGAAGTTACGGATTGGCTTGTCTCCGTCCGGCTAAGAAGAACATTTGACAAGTTTCCTCTGTGTTCAAAAGCTTTTGAAGTTTGTTGAAGGGCTCAGTGAAGTCTAGCTAGTCTCTCCCCAGAACACAATTTATATTTTAAATTAAGAAAAACTAAACAAAAGATGGCACAGAAAGACAGCATAATTAAATCTGGGAACAGATAACTGCAAATAACAGATTAACAAACTTGAGAGTCTTGGAAGACATGAATCTTTGTAGTCTCTGTAGGTTTAGATGGTCTAAAAGGAGGAATCTGAAGCACAACACCAGATGATATTTAAAAAACCGCGATTCTCTTACCCGCTGTCCTCTCTCATACTCTGCTATTTTCTCCATTTCTTCATTCATCTTCTCAATGTTCTGTCGCCTCTTCTCCTCCCATTCCTGTATGAAATAAACACAACACCACCACCACAGGTCTGCACCATTAGCAAAAGATCAAAATTCATTATTTTACAAATTTAACGGTGACCAAAAACAGCCACAGCCAGTCTGGAAAGTTCACATCGGCAAATATTTTCTATTCTTTTGTTCTGAACGCAGCAACAGTCATAATCCACCACTCAGGTACACAAAACAGGATTTCATTACAGAACGAAACACCAGTGGGGTATTTCATTATTGCTGCTACTGAAAAAGCCCGGTTTGAATTAATGTCGACTTTCAGGCTCAAGTGGTTCCACTATCACAGTTCAGTCCAGTCTTGTCGACGTAAACTCAAACCAGTCTTGAACAGGGACGCATACGCTCTCTCCTTATTGGGAACAACTGGAAAAAAAAGACGCTGTAACTACAGAAGTTCATCTGCACTCACCTTAGATTTCCTGTCCATGCCTCCTGGTGTCCCTCCTTCTCCTCCTCCTCCTCCTCCTCCTCTTCCTCCACCTTCTCCTCCTCTTCCTCCACCTTCTCCTCCTCTTCCTCCACCTTCTCCTCTTCCTTCTCCTCCTCCCCCTCTTCCTTCTCCTCCTCCCCCTCTTCCTTCTCCTCCTCCTCCTCTTCCTCTCCTTCCTCCTCTACGTGGTCCTCCTGACTCCCCAGGTTCTCCATCTCTGGGTGTCCTGGGTTCTCTGGGTTCTCTGGGTTCCCTGGGTTCCCGGTCCCTCCTCTCTTGGCGGCCTCCTCCTCCTCTCTGACCTCCCCGACCCACTCGTCCCGACCCCATCCTCCTCTGGGGGCTGTGACCATCGCTCGGCCCCCTATAGACGTCGCTCGGCCCCCTGTGACCATCGCTTGGCCCCCTATAGACGTCGCCCGGCGCCCTGTGGCTGTCGCCCGGCGCCCTGTGGCTGTCGCCCGGCGCCCTGTGGCTGTCGCCCGGCGCCCTGTGGCTGTCGCCCGGGCGCCCTGTGGCTGTCGCCCGGGCGCCCTGTGGCTGTCGCCCGGCGCCCTGTGGCTGTCGCCCGGCGCCCTGTGGCTGTCGCCCGGCGCCCTGTGGCTGTCGCCCGGCCCTCCATGCCCATCACTCTCCTCTGAGGTCTTCCCGGCCACGAGGCGCCCGGTTTTCCAGTCGTTCACAACTCTCTTCTCCTGCAGGAAACAAGTGCACATTTCAATTTGATGCTGTTATATTTGGTTGGTTCCACTGTTCATTACTTTACTGCAATCTAAAAGATATCCAGTAACTATCCCACTGAGGGTTTGTGGATGCACACACACACTATCATGCTTTATTACATTTGTCTGGTAATGAAGTGCTAAAGGTCTGTGAGCTCTGAAAATCCAGCAGCCAGTTGGCCAATAGGGGATAATATGCTGTCCTGAATTGAACCTCTGTACTTTAATTTAAACAGACTCAATCTACTCAATCTCAAGGGTTGATGCCATACAAAAAGTACAAAAGGCTAATAAGGGCTATGGATTATGTAAAACTACAACATGATGAACTCGGAGAGAGAGAGGCTGAGAGGTGATGAAGAAGAGAGCGGGATTGTTCAATCAGTTTTTCAAGGAGCTCTTTAAGCAGAGGGATCAGCAGACTGTTGTCAAGCTTTAGAAAAGGTTTAACAGACTAATGAACCGAATTTGACCTTTTGCCCCTGAATCAATATCCATTCAGACAGGTACACACGTGGAGCAAACTCCCCCCCTCTTGTTCTTCATGCCATTCTTTGTCTTTTAACCTCTGCAGGTTAAACATCAGGGGTCTGCTGTCGTCACTGGTCATTTCTGAGGCAATCTGGACCCCGGCAGGAGCTGTCTGCACTGTACCGTCCCTCCTGGACCTGATTAGCACGAACTGTCCTGCTGCAGTCGGCAGGAGGTTGATTAAAATCCTGCTACAAATTTGAGTTACTACCGTCTTCATTCAGCTGTATTCTGTGGTTATTTAAAGCGTCTATAATCTGTAGTTTTACAGTAACAATGTATTGTAACGACAGCGTGACGATGTGAAAGGGGTCACTCATACCTTCGGAGAATTATCTGAATCTGAATCTCTCCGCGGCTTTATGGAGCTTTAGAGTCAGTTTCAGTTCATTGGTTTAAAATTATTTGCATATTGTATTTTTCTACACAGACTAAAGAATTGGTGGCTTTCAGTATTGCTGGTTATATTACGCCATTACGAGCAATGTGGTGAACTCTACAACAGGACTGCTTTATGGCAAATCTGAATTTAAAGGATTTTTTTGCATCAATATGAGGAAGAAGTTTAATCTTTATGTATCTGATTCATGTGCTTTCCCTCTTTTTCTATAAAATATGTTTTATGTAGGATGTAAAATGTGTAAAATATACGTCTTATTCCATATGCCAGCCTACACGTGTAACACAAGAGCGAGCACTAGAAGTGGGCAGAGGACTGATAGGTACACTGGCAGGCCTGTGGTTTGTAAACTGATCACAGTAATGAGAATCTGTCAGAGTTTATAAGCTTCGTCTTCGGTCTGCTGGATCGTCATGAAACAGGTAAAGAGGTTATCTCTTCTACAGACAACAAAAACATCACCAAAATGATGGAAAGACGCGTCACAGTACTCATATAGTCGATGTTCTCACTGCGTCTTATTCAGTTTTAAAAGGATCTGTGTGTGTGTGTTGAGGTGTCGTGGTTTTAGTTTGGGATCCACATCAGGTCTTTACCCCTGTCAGTTTAGAAAGGTCGACTGTGACGGTGAAGTTTTCTTTCTCCGTCTTCCTTCTGTCCGTCTCCGGCTCGTGGGGGCGGGGCTTCCTAGGCGTCGTCACGGCAATGCCCTCCTGCTCTGCCTTCTTCTTGTCTTCCTCTATTTCCTGTTGAGTGACAGAATTAGTGGGACGAGACTAAAGTGGTGTCCTAAAATTCAAACGTTGGACTAACTGTAAGCAACTTTTGAGTACGTTTACATAAACTGACTGAATTAAAAGTATATTAAGTACAATAATGAGTAAAATTGAAGAAGAAAGTGATGTTGACGGACACTATTCTCCCACAATGCAAAACAAAACAAATATTACATCCTTGAAAAAGCGACTTCTATCTACCTAATACCAGCTATTATATAGAAGCTATATTTATTTATTTTAAGACATTTTCAGACTTTCTGAAGGACTCACTGCTACCACTGATGACAGTTATCTTGTGACGTTACTCCGTACCTGGTACCTCTTGACCAGAGCTTCATTCTTCTTCCTCAGAGCTTCGATTCGTCTGTCCAACTCTGCATCCTTCTCCTCCTTCGTCTTGAGATCCACCGCTGAAGACTGACACAGAGAGGAGGAGGGTTAGGAGGAGCAATGAAACAAGGAGGAGGCCAGCCTGTCCTCAGTGACACAAACTTACACTAGATTAAATGAAGTACTGATTATAGATAATAATGTTGTTGCTACAACACTGTTTTCCTCCTTTCTTACTCACCATAGCTGCCTCTGACTTGTCTTCATACACAGGAGGCTGACTGCTTGTTCCTCCTGTGGTGAGGAAGATGAAGAGTCAAGGATTAGTTAATTGGTTGCTTCATAGAAGTTTAACACAATTTAATGTTTTTAAGTCGCCCTCCACTCAAACATGTGTTTTGCTAATTGATAACTTCACTTTGATGTGACACGAGACGGCTGTTTTCATGTTTACCTGCTGAAAGTTCAACTTATATTTGTGTTTAAGGAATGAGTTTGTGACATTACAGCTTGTTTAGTATATTAGTCAAACATTCAACTTAAACACGTGTGATGTGGAAACTTCAAAACCTCCAGTGCGTGTACACTGACGATGTGAAACAGGAAAAATCTTGTGTCAACTAGTCCAACTTTAGAAATAAACAATATTTTCATGTTTAAAAGATTAAAGCGTGAGAGAAGGAGAATATTTAATGCAATAGGTAAACAGTTAGTTAGTATTCCAAACATTATGGATGTTTAAAAGCATCTCCGGATGTAAACAATATGATTATTTATCTACTGAAAACAATATTTCCTACTGCTAAATACTAATCAATAACCATTTAAGTAGCTGCACTTTGCTCCTGTCTGCAGGCTCCAAGCAGGTTCACACCTGTGTTATTGATAAAGGGGATACAATCACAGGTGAGGGAGGTTACAACCAGGTAACACCAGAAACACAAATGAATAAATCCTCCATGCGTTTCCAAAGCTTGTGTAAGCGTATTAAGAACCGACAGGACACAAAGACACAGAGACACAGAGACACAAAGACACAGAGACACAGAGACACAGAGACACAGAGACACATTAAACCCTCACTGTACTCTTACAATCAGACACACTGATGTTATTTGTTTTTACTCTGGTCTGAAGTAATGTAAGGACACTGAGCCATGTTTGCTTCAGGGCGCAGACTCTCTCTCTCTCTCTCTCTCTCTCTCTCTCTCTCCAACAACGATGGAAACAAACCACCCACACGGACCGACACAATCAACAAAGCAGCGCATTAAAAGCGTAAATACACTTTGTTTGTGTTACCTGTATCAGAAGGGGGGAGTTTAAAGAGTGTAAAGAGCAACGTTTGGACTCGTAGCTCTTTGCCAATTCCTGCACCTCACTGTGTCCTCATTATTCGGCTTCCTGTTAGCTGCGGCTAACTTCCTGCCAAATAAAGACCCCCCCCATGTCGGAGGTTTTAAAGGCACAGCGCTTAATTTCAGAACTAAACTGTCAGAAAACTTCGTGTAACTTACCACAACTAACACTTTACAAATACAGCTGGACGTTGTTGTGTGGGTTTTACATATTTTGATAAACAACCGCGAATCGAAACTAGTCGATATTACGTAGTTTTACAGGGACTGTATTTCTTCCGCTGTCCGCGAGAGGGCGGCAACGGCCAGCGGACGAACTCGACCTGATAACCGAGCGGTGATCAGACCAGATCCTGCCGCCTGAACCAGTGGCAGTATATATAGGCCCAAACTCACACAGTCAGATAGTGAGGAGGGAAATAACTGCATCTATACAACTGATATTAATAAAGTGTCTATTTATAGTACAATAATAGTAATAATAGTTACATTTTATGTTACTTTATTGTACTTAATTACTTGCTTTAAGCTTTTAATTAGAGGATAAATCAGTTAAATCTATAGTCAGTGGTCAACTTTTTAGTTTGGCATTAACAATTTTTATTGTACCTCACTACTATATGATTTTAATTTACTTTATTAAGCCTCTTTGCCTCCTGAAATGTTTTTTTCCCCTGGTTCTGGCCATGTAAGGCTCTTTGTAACTTTATTTTGATTTATTTAGATAAATAAAGTTTATTATTTCCACAGAGAATGCTGACTAAAGGGTACAATCATCAAAATAAGTTAAATGATATTCTTGATATGATAGTTAACTATAATACTAAACGTTTATCAACATCCTTCCAACATGCGTCATAACTAGATTGCAACACAGAAGATAAAGGGATCAACCATTTTACTGTGACTAAGCATGTTTCAGTAACCTCTCTCACCTTTCAGTTGGATGACACAGCTGTTTTGAACAGGTGAGTCTAATTAGTTGGAACAGAATAACACACAGGTGACATAAGTCTGATTATCCCGTCCGGCAGCAACAGACTCAAGTGAGACAGATCATTTTGATCGGCTTCCTTTTTGTTCGTTGGCTGTTTGCAGGATTTGAAGTAACGATGATGTAATGTGGTGAAATATTGATTAGGAACTGAAGTGAACAGAAGATTTTACATTACATTTAAAGCAAATACAGTATTTCTGTCTCTTCAGCTTTAAAATATGACTTATTATGACTCTTATTCCCTTTCACTCTCTCTGTCACACACACACACACACACACACACACACAGATGACAGACTATCCCGTGGCCCAGTTTCAGAGGCCGCAGTCACAACAAACAGCCACACTGTTGTCAGGCAGCACACACTGAGTAATGACCACGCAGGATTTATAATCACTTGATAAGATCGTGCAACCTGAGCCGGCCGTCTGCGCCGCCACACCACCAGCAGACATACAGGAGGGACCGGCTGTCAGGGTAAAGGTGGAGACAGGTGGAGACACACACACACACACACACACACACACACACATACACACACACACACAACCAGCATCAGTTACGCTGACAGGATGTCACAGAGAGAAACAGGAATCATACTTCTAATCATTAAACACAATTTCACACAGATTGTGAGGACGTGTGAGGATGTGAAGTGTGTGTGAGAAACTACGGTGGCTGTGAAACTCGTGAGAAACCTGAAAGGCCCTGGCCAGTGTTTGGTTTGTCCATTCTGGGCTACTGTAGAAACATGGCGGTTGAACATGGTGGACTCCATGGAAGGCGACCCACGGCGTCTGTAGATAAAAACGTCTAATTTTAAGGTGATGAAAACACCAAAAACTTAATATTCAGGTAATTACACACTAATAAAAACATAGCTATGAATATAATTTGTAATATCTGCCCATAAATTCTTTTAAATGTGTATTATTAATATCAGTTCAACTGCACTAAAGTAAGAAATTAACACATGATGTATTGTCAGTTTCATTCAACTACACATACACTGATCAACATTAATCATAGTTAAATTATCTCTGGTTTAAAATGACTGCGCAGTGCGGAGTCGTGGATCTCCTTTCAGCCTGGAGGGGAACTCGGTGATGAGCTCACTGTTGTGAAAGTCAAATAACAGCGTCCCCGGGGATGACACGAGAACCCTTGAGGCTCTGATCACGGAGAGAGGAAAGGGACGATGGTTTCTCTTGTTGATATAAACAACCAGCGCTCGGGGGTTTACACGCAATGGCAATGATGCACGGCGTGTCTCTGGGCAGAGTTTACAGTTGAAATGTCCACAGACATTAAGGGGGGAAGTCAATAACTTTCCTCTAATACATTTGGGGAATACCAGAATATTTCACCACTTGGATTAACTTCTTACTCTGATTATGAATTATTATTATTATTATTATTATTAATGAAGCACTTAAATGTCACATAATTCCTTAACTGACACAGGAAAAATATTGTTATCTACATTGTTAAATCCCAAAGGATCCACAGATGATATATATGTAATGATGTTACAGTTTGGAGACGGTAGGGTGATACTGAACCTACAATGGCTAAATAATACAGTCCATTTCTTTGTAGCCCTCTTTAAACTTATTGAGACATAGGGTTATACAATAAAATAGGAGTGACCTGCACCTGGTCTATGGTGTGTTGAGTGTTACTTTCACTATTATTAAATCAGTAAATATTTGAGATAAATTTGTGAATATGTTTCCATCTTTACTGGTGATGCAGGAGAAATTAAACCATGTGTGAACAGACATGATGTGCTGCAGATGCACATTCCTCCACACGGTGTTGGTTCAACTTATCATAACAAGGATTTGGTGGGCTGTCAGAAACTGAGAGAGGCACAGCAGTGGACACACACACACACACACACACACACACACACACACACACACACACACACACACACACACACCAGGTCCATCTGTCCAGCTCTGTTTGAGGTGAAACGGATGAGGTAATGGTGTTGCTCTTCAGAAGCCCGACACCTTCTATCCCTCTATATAAATCCATCCATCACACTGCTCACATTTCTTCCTCTATACACAGCAATGGGTTTGGTGTATTTAATTTCTGTCTCTTTCTCTCCATTGTTTTGTTCATTTCTTTCGGGTCTCTGTGGAGTAAAAACAATCTTCTACGAGTCAGCTGGAAGGATTAGAGGTTTCTAAATCTAAAACAAAGGGAAAACAGTATTTCTCTATCAATTCAATTAAAAGGAAGAGTGATGTATTAGACCTGTTAGCCTCACAAGTGCTGTCATTAGAGAGTCATTATCTTTTACTCCTCTTCAACCCAGCACTGCTCTAGAGCTCCAGTCATTCTGCTTTTATTATGGAAAAAGATAAGATAGGATAAGATATATAGATGAGGTAAGATGATGCTGTATTGAGTGGAAATTTGGGTGTTGCAGCAGCACGAGGACAGAAATAAGTACAGATAAACAGAGAGAAGGAATTTGAATAAATCAGATAATACATATAAGTAAATAAAAATAAGAATAGAAGTAAAAATGGAAACTACACAAGCTAAAAAATACAAGGCAAGAGTGGCACAAAGAGTGCAGCAAAGAGTAGTATATGTAAACAGTGTACACCAGAATACAATATAATGATACACACTGTTTATCTCTACTGATATAAAAATAATAACTGAAATATAATGTAATAAAACATAATATAGTATAATATAGTATGGGGCATAATATTTGTATTAGTAGCTTTCATGTTTGTCTCCAGTATGATTGTCATGCACAGCTGGCTGCTGTTAGTCCATAAACATTAGAGGCCTCTGCTGTTGACTTTAACAACGCCGGCTTCCACAAAGAGAAGAGAAATGTTTGTTTGTCCAACGACGACAGCGATAATAGTAATAGTGAGTCTGTAACGGTTTACCTGATTAATTAGCAACAATAAACTTAATAAAATATACAAACAAATATATAAAATGGGCGGGAAAAGCAGGTTTTCATGGCAGAGATCAGTAAAGAGAGCATTTTCAGATTTAGTGTTGATGTGGTCCAAACTTTAGTACTTGGACACATTTTACCAAGTTGAGACTCTGCTTTCTACTTCTGGGTGATGAACCTGTATACCGGTTTTAATTTCATATACCGCCATACCAATGCATAACTGAAACATATATTATCATTATATTATATCTTTTATTGTTTTTAAAGGTCCAGTGTGTATTTAGTGGCATCTAGCGGCGTAGTTGCAGATAGCAACTCAATTATTTAACCCTTCCTTTCCAAGTATGAGGAAGAAACTACAGTGGCCACAAAATGTGTGGTAAAAAAAACCCCTATCTAGAGGCAGTATCTGGTCTGTCCATTCTGGGCTACTGTAGAAACACGGCGGTTGAACATAGGTGCCACCATGGAAAGCGACTTGTGGCGTCTGTATCTGAGGTAACAAAACCACACTTATGTTTCCTTTCTGCCAATAGATCATTCAAATGTTTCACACTGGACCTTTAAAATACACTGATTGCTTTGCAGCACATTCAGTTAAAAATGTTAAATAAATCATGTTGAATTTTTAAATCCATCGTGAGGATTAATGTAAAGATGAGATATACTGTTGTTTGTAGCTGTAGTTTTGAATGTGAGTGCCAGCAGCAGCCTCTTTTCATTTCATCTGGTTGCTAACACCAGACACAAAGCATCTTTATCATCCCATCAGCACCCTGCTAACATTACAACGTGCATCTGATAAGGTAACAGTGAAGCTTTGGGCTGCTCCACTCAGATTGCTTTAGCTTTACCTGTTAACAGGTAGCTTTGTGCCTGCTGCCACACACCAGGCTTTTTTCTGCAGCTCTGACTTCACCTGATGACAGAGAGGTTTGCCCTCCGCTGTCTCCTGCGGTGCCTCTTTAGCGGATAATTATCACAACAACAGCAGGAGCTAATTTGTGAAATGTAGGTGAGAAAAGAGAGGGAGGGGGGACGATGATAAACAAATGAAGAACCCAAAGAAAAGAGAGATTATGGGCGAATTGAGATAAGATATAGGTTTTGAATAACAGAAGAATTCAAAACACACA